GAGGGCCGGCGTGGCGGCCGGGAGCAGAGCGGACACGGGGATGGACCAGCGAGCGCCTTCTGGCCCGAGTCTGGCTTCCCGCCCCATGTTGGTCTGTAGACATGGTGGGGCTTCATTTAAGCACAGGGAACACCTAATTCTGAGTGCCCAGCTTCCTCCATCTGACAGTGCACCAAGCAGCCTTGTATGCAGAGTGTGGACGTGAGTCCCCCATGCAGCCCGGAAAACAGCTAAGTGAGACCAGAGACCTGCCAGGTAGGTCACGGCAGTATAGAAAGAGCCTGGGATCCATAACGCTGTGTTTCCTCAAGACAAGTAGCAGAACTTGCCCAATCCTCCATAGACTTGCTCTGCTGTCCCTCAGAGTCTAGATGAGGGATCTTTATAAGAAAGGAACAAACGCAGGGAAGCCCAAAGCGCAGGGACCAACATGGGAACAGAATGGCTGCGGAGGGAGAGCACCAAACAACCCCACAGAATTCAGCAACTGGCCAGCCCACTCCTTCCCCACCTGGAGTGGAGGAAACGGCCCCTCGACCCCAGATGGGAGCCCTGGGTCCTCCCCTTGCTGGAAACGATCCAAGGCTGATGCACGCAAGGCTGTTTCTAGAGGCCCCACACCACCGTTTAATTTGTGTTTCAGCTAATATTATTAAGCCCCAGCTAGCCGTTAGCTTCATGAGTGAGTTCAGGTCTGTTGCTTTCATTTTTTCACCGTGGAGTGGAGCCATTACATTTTTTGAGATGAAAAGCAAAACACACAAATCCAAATCCTGCTTCGCTTCCAGACTTACACTTCTATTATTTATGGAGGGAGTGGAAGGGGCCCGAGGAAAGACCAGCCAAGAGCTCCAATGCAAGTCTTGAATCTCCCCTGCCTCAGACGACATCACCTTTTGAGAGCTGACTGACTGGACTAAGCATCCTTATTTTGACCTAGGAAACCACAGTCTCCTCAAAAGTGTTATAGGAAACTCTTTAAATATTTTAGAAGATAAACTACTTAGAAAGGAAAAAAAAAAAAGAAGAGAAGGAAGGAAGGGAAGAAGGAAAGCAAGAATGAAGGAAAGCAAGCAAGAAAGAAAAGGAAGCAGTGAGGCACAACACGGGAGTTATTTCTCCCTCCCAGGCCGCTTCCTGCGCATTGCCACAGAGCTGGAGCGGTGCTGTCCCCCCTCGTGTCCCGCGCAGGTGGCTGCTCCAGGGCGGCACTTCCCTGGGCTGATCCATAGAGGGAGTAGACACCTCTTCCCTTCGTGCTCTGCAAGTTTGTAAACAGAAGCCGCACGCTGGTGCGGCCACCTTCAAAGGCAGCTCCTCGGGCTTTATGTAATGTTTCCAAATGCTTTTTGGGAGTTTTTTGTTTGTTTGTTTTCCTCCATTTTTTAATGTCTGAAAATGAGTTTTTCCCACTCGTTTTAATAAACTGTTCTATTGCTCAATTCCAAACTGCTAGTTCCTCCTCAGTTAAGGTTTCAGCTGTTTCTATTTAAAGCTTTGTGTTGCCTTCTCATTAATGCCTCTAGTAAGGTCTCATGCTTGAGACTAAAGAGAAGGCCTAAAGCAACTATCTGAGTTTGTTGGGGGACTTCTGTGCTTGTGCCGGCAGCTTGGATGAGAGGAACACATCCACAACACAGCTTTACGGCAGCGTGGCTCCAAGGATTAACTTTTCTCCTCTACGCACATGTCAGCAGAAAGATGAGAGAAAAAAAAAACGCAGAGAGAGATACTCAGAGCTGCGGTTACCTGAGGAGCACAGACAGCAGCCCTGCCTGCCTCCCAAATCCACTGGGAATGTTTCCTGACGTTCTCCATAAGGTGCATTGCCTGCTGCTGTGAAGGGCTGATACTTTGGGCACAGCCAACAGGCAAAACTGCAGGCACAGACTCAGACCCTTACACAGCACATATGACCTGTGAAAGGAGGCAGAAACCATAAGGTAAGTACAAAGATATGAGCATATGTCAGCTTACAAATAATGACTATTACAAATGAAGTGGATGCCAGCTGTCCTCATTTTCACTTACCTCACTCCAGATCTTATTACTCAGTTGATTTCTGCCACGGGAGGCCTCACAAAAAATCTGAGGAAAGTTTTCACGAGACAGAGACCTGGAGAATCACAGCTGATAGGGTTGATGAGTAAAACCTGCATATGCTGCTTTGCCAAGAGCAATTAAAAGCCCAACGTAGACCACTTCTGCTCTCCATCTTTGCTACTTCCTCTGTCTTTCTGATACAACAGCAGCACAGATGTCTCTGATGACCTTTCTAAGTTGCTATTTAATTAACAGCCTGCAGGAGAAAACTGGCACCACCACCCAAGCACCCAGGCTGCAGGGTTCTGGGCACTGGACAAACACAGAGGAGAAAGACAGCCCCGATCCCCAAACCTTAGCACTTGCTTCCAGGCAAAAGCTATCGGCTGTGTAGCTGCAGATACACACACACAAAAAAAGTGAGACAACACTGTGGTGCTGTTTGTCAGCTCCTCTCTTCTGAAGCCATCACCAGCAAAGCTGCTTTTGTAAGAGCTGCCCATAAGGTTGCAATAGCAGCCAAGAAGTTTTATAGCCTGTCAAAGAGTTGTGATTAGCAAAACAGACAATGCAGAGTGCTGACTTCTGCAGTCAGAAGGGCTCTTCTAACACAATTTGCATTCCCATATTTTTTACAATGCAAGTAAGGATTTATATTCCCTGTTCTTACTGCCTGTCACTAACTTTATGTAGCAGTTGTCTGATTTATTGGAATATGAAAGATCTCAACTTTTTCAAGGCTTTTTTTCTTTTTTAAGTTGCATAATAGCAATCCATCAATAGCGCACTGCTAATTCAGAAATATTTTAAGGAATGAAGGCAGTTGATAATTATGGCTATCTAGTCATCAGTGTTACTCTGAAATATCTTCAGAAAAGTAGGAACATGGAAGCATTCCCTTGGCAGGGAGTGGTGTGAGGAAAGTCGAGGCCCAACTGTTATTGAAATGGGCAAAGGATGTCAAGAGCAACAAGAGCTTCAATCAGTCCATTACCAGAAAAAGAATAAAAAAAGAAAGATGTGGGACCTCTGCTGTAAGGAGCAGGTGACTTACTGGCAATGGATACCAGTAAGGCTGAGGTCTTCGCTGCCTTCTTTGATTTGATCTTCACCGACTGGTTCCCCCAGGCTTTTATGCTTCAAGAAGAGGATTTGCCAGTTGCAGGAGAGGACCAAGCTAGGCATCTTCGAAGGAATTCCAGCTGATGCAAGTCCTTGGCACCAGATGGGATGCATCTGGGATTGGGGTGTTCAGGGAGCTGACTGACATCACTTGTAAGGCCCCTTTCTATCATCTTTAAAAGGTCATGGAGACTGGGGGAGGTCCTCACTGACTGCAGAAAGCCAGTGTTGCACCTGTCTTCAAGGACAGCATGAAGGCCAATCCAAGTTGCTACAGCCTGGTGAGCTTCACTTTAGTTCCTGAGAAAATAACAAAACAAGTCCTCATGGAAACCATTTCTGAGCCTATGGAAGAAAAAGGGGTGACTGGGAAGACCCAGTATGGATTTACCAAGGATAAATCATACCAACCCAGCCTGGTTGCCTGCTTAAATCTGTGGATGAGGGGAGAATAGAGCATAGCAGGCTTTCCACATAGTCTCCCACAGCATCCCTGCAGCCAAGTTTTGACATTACAGTCTAGATGGGCAAACAATTAGATCACTGAAAAACTGGCTGGATCATTGTGTTTAATGATTCATACTCTTTTAATGATTCATACCTGGAAGCTGGTTACAAGTGGAGTTTCTCAGAAGTCTGTCTTGAAACCTGTCCTGTTTAGTATCATCTCCTGCAGGAGAAGATGGAGTATACTCTTGCCCAGCTTGTGGACAACATCAAATCAGGGTGTCTAATCAATACACTCCAGGGCATGGCTGCCATTCAGAGGAATCCAGACAGGCCAGAGAGATGGGTCAACACAAATGTCATGAAATTCAGCAAGTCCTGCGCGTGCAAGACAATGCCCTGCATTGGTCCAGGATAGAGACTAGTGGGCTACGGAGCAGCTCGACTGAGAAAGACCCGGATATTCTGATGGCCAATAGGCCAAACATGAGCCAGCAGCAAGCCCTGGTAGAGATGAAGCCTAACAGCATCCTGGAATGTGTATCAACAGAAATGTAGTCTAGGGGAAGTCTCTTTTACACCGCACCCAACAGGCCTCATGTGGAATGGCTTTCATGGTCCCAATACAAGAAGAAATGTGATAAACTTCAAGTGCAGTGAAGGGCCACCAAGACGGTCCAGCTTGTGCAGCCTGGAGAAGGGAAACCTAGTAGCAGCCTTCCAGTACCTACAAGGAGATTGTCTGTAAAGTGGTACTGGGCTTGGTACTGAAGTGCTGAGTGAGTGTGGTCCTAAATTGAATCACAGCTAGGTCTAAATTCTGTTGAGGAGTTAAAAACAAACAAACAAACAAACAAACAAACAAAAAAAAGGATTATGAGGCACTGGAACAGGTTGCCTCCCTGGTTGGAGGTTTTCAAGACCCACCTGGGAAAAGCCCTGAGCAACCTGTTCTGGATTCAGGTTCGACCATACTTCGAGCAGGATGTTGCACTACAGACCTCTGGAGGTTCCTTCCAGCTCGAATGACCCTGTGGTTCTAACCAAATGAGAGCTCGTTGTTAAAACCAAGAAAAATCTCAACCTTCAGAAACTTTCTCAGAGATTTCATTTAAATATGTATCATGAGTTTTAATAGTAAGCTCATCGCTATTTCAGGAAAAGCATTCAGGCAGATTTTACAGGAATTACTGTTACTGTAATTTTCACAATCCCTAGGGTTACTCCATTCATCTGGAATTCGAAATAATGAACAAAATTTAAAATCCAAATATTAAAAGTTAATCACAGAGTTACATCTGTTTGGGTATGTATTTTTTCTACATATATAATACATATATACTTTTATCAAAAATATTAGTTCATTCATCTGAAGAATTAAGGAAAAAGTGTTTTTCTTTCTGAAAAAAAGAAATCTATAATTGTGAATTAGAAAATAAGAGCACTTCTCTATCATTTAATTACGTAATAACATAATAACTATGTTTACTTTATTAAACAAAAAACATTGAATATACTTTTTTACCTTTTATTTTTAAGAAGAATTTCTAATTTCTTAATTCCTGGGATTTGGTTTGGGCGATGGGCAGACTTGCATTTAAAATTTACCTCTTCTAGTCCTCAGGTGAAGAGGGCAGAGTTGCTACGTTCTTTTACAGAACTTTTTTCTATATTATGGTCTAAGTGAACTAACTATAGACATTTTAGCATAACGCTCGAAGCTGACAGATGACCAGAAGGGAAACTGCCTATAGTTAGGAACCTGCCCATAGAAAGGAAGCTGCTGTGTCTGTCTGCGTGGTGCTGCTGTTGCCGGTCCCCTAAGTGGGCATGGGACTTTGCCGAGGTGTGTCAGGAAACGCTCGCCCAGCTTGGCTGCCCACTGCTGACTGCCAACAGCTTCACCTGTGCGATACCACTCTTAAAACATGCACGTTTTCTATGAAGAGAGATACTCCTTTGCCCTGAAAGGGAAAAATAGAGGAATGCAATTACTTCTGTAAATGTTGACTATAGCAAAGCAACAATACTGGCGTGAGTAACTGTTGCCTGTTCCTCCTGTACCCTACCTGATAGATCCAGGAAATCCAGGGTCCAAGCACCACCAGAAACAGACAGCATATTCCGCACAGCAGACAACATACTCTGTATCTTCCGCTGCATTTTTACCATGTAAAAAGCCATCCCTATCTGACTTCTAGTTCTGGCACTACTGCCACAACGTTTTGGCATAAAGTGCTCAGCCTGCTCAGCACCAACTCCTCAAACCAGCAGATTTTTCTTTATGGGTCAAGTCTGGCTTCCAGCATCAGCTCCACACTCCCTCTAAGGCACTGCCCCGGGTATTCAGGTGAACACTGAATTTTAGGTAATTTCCTGCTGGCAACGCAGACAAGAAATTACCTGAAAACTCTGGAAACCCCCTGAGCACAGCTGAGAATAAAAATAAATAATAATAATAATAAATAATAATAAAAAATGGGAAGGCAAGCAGAGTCACCACCACCATCCTGGGCGGGGACAGGTCAGGACAGGCAGTGAGTCCTGTGTCCTGCAGCTGGGCGCTGGGAGAGAAACAGCAGCTGGAGACGGACTGCAGAGAGACAGGAGGAAGAAAAGGGAGAGGGGAAAAGAGACAAGGAAGATGAGAGATGAAGAAAGGAGAGGAGGAGGGAGGGAGAGGGGAGGAAGAGGCTTTGGGGAGGAGAGGGGGCGAGGGCCGTAGTGTCTGTCTGTGACTGTCTGACTGTGTCCGACTGTG